CCGGTTAGAAGTGCGGGAGGGATGAAGAATACATTCGAACGCCAAACTGGTGGTTGTTACTGGTGATAGGGCTTACTATGAGTCCGCATGGATATGTACCAACCGCCTGTTTCTGCCATGAAGCAGTAATGCGTTTCGGTTTAATGGATAGGGCAGCCAATGTACTATAAGTCGTCATGGCCTAAAGGATAAGACGTCCGGTGCATTCGTATGTAGCGATGCACCGGTGTTCGAATCTCGCCGGCGGGTACAATTTTTCCCGATGAAATACGTACATAACAAATGTTCACGATTGACTTCCTTGATCCATTAACGGTGCTTTTAGGTACCACAAGCACCGGTCACTGTCCTCGCCGAACCCGTCGCTTGCGACGAAGGGCTCGACGAGTAAATTAACTCATAGACACAGCCTACTGAGTTTCTCGCCGGATCTTCTCGGTGGGTCGCGTTTCCGATTCGGTGGTAGATTCTGCGAAGCACTGCCCTTGCTAGGGCCAGTGTTAGTAACACTCCCGGTAAGAACCCCGTGAGCTCAAGTACACGTCAAGGAGAAGCTGAAATAGCCTCTCAAGGCTATCAGCATAGATAGGGGAAAAAAAGATTGACTTCCGCGGTGAAGGAATAACATCGTGTAATAAAAATCAAACCCGTAAAATTATAATTTGCGTAATTACTGGCGGTAGGACGTTTTGCGAGTCCTCACGAGTACGTACCACCCGCCTGTTTCTGCCGTGAAGCAGTAATTCGTTTGATGGATATGGCAGCCGTTATACCTATAAAACTGAGACTTAGAATTGTCATGTCTCAAGTTGGCTCCATGAGCTCCGGTAACCACTTAATCCCAAAAAGGCCGTGACCACGTGCCCGCGTAGAGCAATAAACAGAATCGTTTTCCCAAAACGTTGTTTTCATAACGCAAAAATGAGAATTGAGCACCGAGAACAAATAAATTGTTCACGATGAAAATCCTCGAATTAAAACTTCGGAAATCGCCTAAAGAGATTATCATAATAATTTCTTGTTAGGAGCCGAGCCCGAGGATGTAGTACATTAACATAAAAAACAATTAATTTATATTAAATTATGTTCTAATTTGGCAGCGTTNCAAAACGTTGTTTTCATAACGCAAAAATGAGAATTGAGCACCGAGAACAAATAAATTGTTCACGATGAAAATCCTCGAATTAAAACTTCGGAAATCGCCTAAAGAGATTATCATAATAATTTCTTGTTAGGAGCCGAGCCCGAGGATGTAGTACATTAACATAAAAAACAATTAATTTATATTAAATTATGTTCTAATTTGGCAGCGTTCCGTACCTGCTCTCCGCGGAGCATCGGAATATTTCGCGATGGAGAATTTCGTAATTTGATTAATTTCGTGATGGTCTCTCGATTTTTCTAGAATCATAAAAAACAAACAAATTACAATTTTTATCAATGTATTTTGTTGTTGTAAATATTATTTTTTTATTGCTTAGATGGGTGGATGAACTCACAGCCCACCTGGTGATAAGTGATTGTAACTGTAACCCATAGACATCTACAACGTAACCTTGAGATATTCAGCGGTAGGCAGCGGCTTGGCTTTGCCCCTGGTATTGTTGATGTCCATGGGCGACGGCAACCACTCACCATCATCAACCACCACTCATCACCGTATGCTCGTCTGCCTACAAGGGTAATAAAAAAAATTAAAAAAAGATGTAAGTTTTAAGGTCTCAGTATATTTACAACGGCTGCCCTACCCTTCAAACTGAAACGCATTACTGCTACACGGCAGAAATAGGCAGGGTGGTGGTACCTACCCGTGCGGACTGACAAGAGGTCCTACCACCAGTAATTACGAAAATTACTATATAACTTTGCGGAATTGATTTTTATTACACGATGTTATTCCTTCACCATCGAAGTAAAACGTGAACTTTTGTCCAGTACGTATTTCATTAGAAAAATTGGTACCCGCCTGCGGGATTCGAACACCGGTGCATCGCTAGATACGAATGCAACAGACGTCTTATCCTTTAGGCCACGACGACTTCCAAATGCGTTCCCTTTGTTGGTCTATGAGACGCAAAAGTTAATTACTAATGATTAATGCATAGCGAAACAGCCGTAGCGTTTCATATGCAAATACAGGTAGTTGGTTTTTCATTTGTTTCATCGCAAACCTTGGCTCCGTGTTTACATAAGTGAAATGAAAATATAGAATAACAGCCGAAAGGCATTTGTTTCGCGAGAGCATTATTTACTAAATACGATACGGAGCCGGACAAATTAACTTAATTAAATGTCCCCGGGCAACACGTATGCGAAGCAAGAACACCATTTACTTACATATAGAACCGAGTCGAACTCAGAGCCAAAGAAGCTTAACAACTATAACCAATTCGGATAATGTCGAATCAGTAACATGACATCAACATTTTACTGGTGGTAGGACGTCTTCTAAGTCCGTACGGGTAAGTACTATCACCCTGCTTATTTCAGACGTGAAGCAGTAATGCGTTTCGGTTTGAAGGGTGGGGCAGCCGTTGTAACTATACTTGAGACCTTAGAACTTATATCTCAAGGCGGGTGGCGGAATTTACGTAGTAGATGTCCATAAATATGGGCTCCGGTAACCACTTAACACCGGGTGGCCCGTGAGCTCGTCCACCCACACAAGCAATAAATAAAAATTTAGAAGACACGAAGTTGTACCGGAAGGGTACCATCCTGTCCATTTTTGTCGCGAAGTAGCCCGATTTAACCTTTCAAGGATAAATAATCAAGGTTTTCACCTCTTATCTCAAAGTAAGCTTTGATGTATATAGGCTTCAGTATCCTACAACGATCATCCTAATGAATAGCAACAAAAAAAAACTGATAATACTCACTCAGAAAATGGCAGTACATTATCTTTATCAAACCCGCTACCTATTGAACTAAATGACAGCACGGATCGTGTATAACATAACATTTCCTTACAAGTCAAATACTTATATAAAAAGAACATATTCATGTTTCGTAAAGGAGTTATTCCGTATTCCGCGTAAATAAGACCTTTTAAGCACAAGTCTAATGATAGGATTGACTTATTTGAGAAAACTCCTGATTGTAACGTCGCTATGTTAACGTCATTGCCAACACAAGTCGACCGTGAGCACTCGTGAACATAATTACGTAGTTAGTCAAATGATTATCGCTTTTAATTATATGTGTACAGAAATTCCTTTATCATTTAAAACCTTTAAAACTCTAGTTTTAAAAAAGATTTTCCTTAGACGGAATCACTCACCTGTTTGTCGTTCAGTGGAAAGAGAGTTCAGTTTTGTGTAGGTAGTAGGTATAATATAATACTGTTTAATTTTGTATATTAATTTTAAAAAAGATTACCTAAGGGCTTTATAATGTTGCTTTCTTATTACGAGTATAACACAGGAAACTTGTAACTATACTGAGACCTTAGAACTGATATCTCAAGGTGGGTGGCGCATTTACGTTGTAGATGTCTATGGGCTCCAGTAACCACTTAACACCAGGTGGGCTGTAAGCTCGTACACCTATCAAAGCAATAAAGAATTATAGCTACAGTAGGATCGCGTGGCCATGTACCCTTGTGACTAGTACAGTTAATACACCATTATCAATATGGGATCCTCTTGTTTGTACACTTCAAATAGAGGCCATACTTTACGCATATCTAATCAATAAAAATGTAATAATATTGAAAAACCTTATCTAAATATCAACTTTGGTATAGAAAATTCAAGTGAGTCTCGAAAATATTCAAATGAACCTATTATGAATTCAATCAGTGTATATGGTTTGAAGCACTTCCGAACATAAAAATAATTATTGCTTGTGGTAGGTAGGGCGTCTTATGAGCCTGCACGGGTGGGTACCACCGCCCTGACTATTTCTGCCGTGAAGCAGTAATGCGTTTCGGTTTGAAAAGCCTGTAACTTAGAATTAAAATTTAGAATTAATATCTTCGAGTGATGGCGGTATATACGTTGTTGATGTCTATGGGCTCTTACCAACACCAATTGAACGGTGAGCTCAACCATTCAGCTAAGCAACAAAAAAAATTTCAAAAAACGGAACTACATAATAATATCATTAAACATTGATCAGTAAATTATTCTAACATCACATTTGTCTAATATGTATTTTTGATTTATCAAACATTACTTAATGTGTAAACATTTATCAAAATAATGTTAACTTTAGAAAATTATAAAATAGTAGCAATACCGAAAAGACATAAAAATATTTAATTATTAAACTTGATTTTATATTTCAAATATCATTGACAGCGGACACTTTTTAATTAATATCAATAAAAAGTTTCACAAAATATTGTAAACCAACAAAACGTTACATTATTAAAAAAAATATCCCCCCGTAAACAAACACACGGAATATTAAAGTCAAGTTGAAAATCTCATTTCGTAAAGCAAACGATATATTCGATAGTAAATGTTTGTTTATGTGCAAGCGTGCATTCGAAGCCAGCCGTCGCTGGCGATTGTTAGGCGGGGGGAGGGGCATGCGGGGCGCGCGGGGGGACGGGGGCGAACAGCTGAGCGCGCTGGTATATCGAATCGACAGTGTACTCGCTCGCAGTCAGTAGGTTCGCCGTCACCGCGGAGTGCGACCGTAGCCGCATTCAAATAACAAGACAACTCGATTGATAATGATTCGATCGCCCCGCAGTGCTAACTGAACTGCGGTCGGGACCCAACGCTAAAATTATGACTTTTGGATCGTACGCCTGCGAGGAAGTTAGTAGCAGTTTTCACGTTCACGAAGGGAAAGTAAGGATAGTTTCGAGATACTGGGAGATCTTCGGTAATACTGCCGCCGAGAGGCTTCGGTACTGGAACAAGCAGAGGTTGCTGGAACCACTCGGACTGCTGTAAAACTACAAATAAACTTTAGAATTTGGAACTCGAACAAATCGCTAGTGTTAAAGTGATATAGGTGAACTGTGTTTGTGTTAAGTTTTTTTTTGTTGGGCTTTTTATTTTGGATAAACGAAAATGGTGCCCCAGCAAGTGTCGGATGTGAGGTCTTTGACGCCAACATCCAGTGGATTGCCCGTGTTCGGGTCTCAGCTTATCGATAAAAATTCGTCTACCCCATACACAGATGCCACACAGGTAAGCCAACTTTTTTCCACGCTAGGTAAACTATTAGTGACGTTGAGAAAGTGTTTAGAAATCCCGGAAGAATGAATATCAATTCACGCAAAAATAAAGTAAATTAAATTTATCGTGTAAGTTGTCCATTTTTTAAAAAAAAAACCGTTATTAATTTTTTTTTTATTTAACTGTGGGTCAATAAAATAATAATGCGCGCGCTCAAAAAAAAATAACAATTCAGAAAATCGAACAAATAAACTACGGAAATAAAACGATCAAAGAACGTAATTCGCGATAAAGCAACATTTAAAAAGAAACGTCCACAAATAAAAACATACGCAAATCATTTTTATCACTTGGAAAATGGTCAACACATGGCTAAGGAGGTGTTTTTAAAATTTGTAAACATGTTTACTATAACAGCGTTCGTTTATCTCGTTTTGCTTACATACGTAAAAAAATAAATAATGTTTCTGACGTATTTATAAATACCTAGATGCGATGGTCCGGAATTGCGACGAAAACAAATGGCGCGTACCGCTTTTTTCATTTCTAAAATCAATTCAATTATTCATACGAAATTCGAATTTTAAAAAAACATCAAAATATAACCAAACTCAAAAATACCTACCGTTTTTTTCATTTCTAAAATCAGTTCAATTTTTCATTCGAAATTCGAATTTAAAAAAAAAACATCAAAATATAAACAAACTCAAAATTTATTTTTAAATTAACGACATAACTCATGATACGTAATATGCCTGTTTCAAATTAAATTTATATGGTTATTTAAAAAAAAAAGTCATGACCACGGAAGACATATTATTCCATTTTTGTCGTCAAATAACCATTGCCTATAGTAATGAGGTGCTCGCATGCAATTGATGTGTGCAATACGTGGGAATCATTGAAACTCCCACGGGGATCAAGAGCCTATATTTCCTGCGAAAAAAAAAAAACTGTGTAAATTCATTTTATTTTACGTAATAAAATTTTTACGTTTCCAATTCCAACCTTGAATGTTACAATAAATTAATTACAACGCTCGCGTGCAATGCATTAAATTTTATTCGCTCATTAATTCTTGTTAATTTGAATCTTAATTTTTTGACTAAAAATAATATAATTTTATTTCACAATAAATTCGGCCCATTTCGAGGTATGTTTGAAAATTATTCATTTTTCACGAAATAATAACGCTCGAATTCTTAAAAAATAAATAATCAATCAATTTAAGTCTGATTTTAACTAACTAATTTTAATTTATTAATTTGATATACCTATCAAACGATATTGTTTTTTTTCAAAAATAGTACCAACATTAAACGTCTTTTTTTTGTTATTTCTTACAATTTCCTATTTAGAAACTTTGGTCAAACTCAAAATCGTTGGAGTCTCTTTCTAATTTCAAATGTTAAAAATATTCACCTAAATAATTCATAAAACTTACCACTGCCTAACTATAGTTTATTAAACAAACAAAACTAGTGAAAATGTCACGTTACTAATTAACCGAAGAAATAACCGGAAATCATTGACGTTAAAACGAAAACTCTTAAAGCAATTAAAATAGTCATCAGAATAATCGATAAAATGTATCTACTCATTTGGTGTTCAGTTTTATAAAAATATTTTTTTTTAAATAAAAAATGGAACACCAAATACTGAAATAAACAGACAATTAAAATAAACATTAAAATAAATTTCCGAACGTTTTCAGTAACGCATAAAAAAAAAAGTAGTAATATAGTATGGAAAAATTTAATTTTCTCCAGAAAAAAACTAGTGACAACAATATTAAAATTTAAGTCAACTTCAAGCTAAAGAACGCTTATTCGATTTTTAAAAATAATAAACACGCGGTTTTTTTTAAAGACAACAACGTTATTATATTTATTTATGTTAACACTAAAATCGTGTAAAATGATTTATTATCGATTTCATGAACGATTTTTATAACGCGAAATGCTCAGATGAGTTCCGAGAGTGCAATAACACTTCAATGTCAACGTTTTAAACGTATTTTTAGTCGCATTTGTATGTGTGCGTGGCCTTTCTCGCATGCACCATCCGAGTTCATATGCCCGCTGCTAGGAAACGACAATCTTAGGTCATTCGCGCTGAATTTTAACTTTTTGAATTAATGCAAGCAAAAAAATATCACGTAATCTATACTAATATTATAAAGAGGAAAGATTTGTTTGTTTGTTTGTATTGAATAGGCTCCGAAACTACTTGAACCGATTTGAAAAAATCTTTCACTGTTTTGAAGCTACACTATTCCCGAGTGACATAGGCTATAAATCTCTTTTGAAAAAATTAGGGATCCATACTAAAACTCCAATAATGTAACCCAAGGTGTAAAAAAAAACCTAAAATATTCGTTACATCGCGTCCCCTGCGAAAACTATTGATGATAGAATAAAATAATGTACTACGACTTTGTAGAACACATTATTATTTACGAAAAGTGTCGCGACAGCATATGTCTCACTATTATAGTGATGCCGCAATAAGTGTTATTTTATTTTTAAAAATAAAACAACGTCAAATGTCATTCAAATTTTTGTTAAAGTCCCCAGCGGAGCCGGGCCGCTAGTACACTAGAAAGAGAACACACGATTTATCATCTCGATTAATATGAAAATCCCTCAAATGCAAACGTTTTTAATACATATAATTTCAATGCAACTTAAATAACGTCGAACGAACTCATGATTAAGCAAATGGGAGGTGTTTTACGTTGCCGTTGCGTTAATGTATCGACTTTATCAGAGTTTTCAAAGCCAGGGTCGCGTTTGAAACATGACACGTCACAGAATCGATGTTATCTGGACTGACATGTACGTATGTACGTTGTTTTAACGCGACATATATGTGTATACGCTACCGCATTATGGGCCACATGAACCTGACCGAGATGGGAGCCAGCGCGATCTACAATAACACATCTATCTCGCAAAAAAAGTACAAAATTAACTAAGGGCGGAGCCGGTAGATCATTACAATCTGGCCGTTTTCAGATACGGCTTCGTTGTTTTTTTGTTCATAGTTTTTTTGTCGCTTCGTACATGTAGCCGTGTTACCAACCGTCCGTATCAAGGTTACCATGACTTCATTACGAGATTGTGATCCATTCTAAACTCGAACACGCTTCACTTAATACTAGAACAAGTTGTGTTTACTTGTACTTACCGTTTGAATTTAACTTTGATTTAATCTTTATCCCTTTATGTACGTAACGTCATTAGTTTAAACTGGTGGTAGGACCTCTTGTGGGTCCGCACGGGTAGGTACCACCACCTCGCCTATTTCGGCCGTGAAGCAGTAATGCGTTTCGGTTTGAAGGGTTGGGACAGCCGTTGTAACTATACTGAGAACTTAGAACTTATATCTCAATTATGGGTGGTGCATTTACGTTGTAGATGTCTATGGGTTCCGGTAACCAATGCTACGAATAAATAAGAATATAATTAAATTTCCTTCAAATTAAGGGAACGCTCATCAGATGAAAGTATTTTACAGAACGTTTTAGAGACGCACGCTTGATTAAGAATACAAATTTGGATCGTAATCCCACTACATGTCGGCAACTAGTATTTCTCTGGGTGGTTTTTAATAGCTCCATTATACTCATTACAGAAAACGGCGAGTGTTACCCGAGAAAATTACGGGCCTTCAAACGCGACCGGTCGAGTATTTACTGCATGAATTAGAATGCGCTATTAAATTTTTATAGTGTACAAAATGTACTAGCACTCTCTTTAGTTGCTCGTTCCGAATCTTAAGTCTATTTTTGAGAAATCATAGAACGGTGAATAGATGCAATAATTGCGTTTCATTGGTAAATCTTATCTTATACTTTTATACGAGCAATCCTTGTAGGTATATTAATATTTATGTATATAATTTGAATCTCGGAAACGGCTCCAACGATTTTAATAAAATTTAGTATACAGAGGATTTCGGGGGCGATAAATCGATCTAGCTACGATTTATTTTCAGAAAATGTTGTTTTATTCGTGTTTTCAATAATCAACTCTTCCCGACATCTATTGGCGAATAATAATACTATTTTTCTTAATTGAGGGCAACTAACCGCTTTAAAGACACAACAAGATGGCGTTATCAAAAAAAAATCGGTCATCATCTATACAACTAAATTTTTTTTAATTTTTTTTTTATTGCTTAGATGTGTGGATGAGCTCACAGCCCACCTGATGTTTAGTGGTTACTGGAGCCCATAGACATCTATAACGTAAATGCGCCACACACCTTGAGATATAGTTCTAAGGTCTCAGTATAGTCACAACGGCTGCCCCACCCTTCAAACCGAAACGCATTACTGCTTCACGGCAGAAATAGGCGGGGCGGTGGTACCTACCCGTGCGGACTCACAAGAGGTCCTACCACCAGTAATACACTACCGGTCTTATTTACGTGAATATTTTACGTCCAATTCGTATGTTCTAGATAGTTCGTATAGTTGACGTCCGCGAGATCAGCCATACTTTGCGGAGAGAAGTGTAGCGGGTGAGGTTTTTGTTTTTGCAAATTCATTTCGTGATAATCTCAACATTCGACAGTCGCGTTACACTTGATTTGTGTAATGACAAGGTAGTCGTTATCAGCTCAACGATCCAAATTAATTTTCACCGTGATAAGATTAAACCGAATTCAGTGCAAAACGCTGAAAAAACAATCGGATGTTTTTTTTGTTTCTTTACAACGTATACAAATAAATAATAAACGAACGTAATAGATATGGGAATATTTTATTTCGTTTTTTTATTGCCTTTGTAGGCAGATGAGCATATCTTATGGTAAGTGGTCACCGTAGCTCATGGACGTCAGCAATGCCAGGTGCAGAGCCAAGCCGCTGCCTACCATTAAGTACTCTCCACAAGCCTCGTTTGAAGAAGGACATGTCATAGCGCTCGGGAGTTCATTCCAAAGCCGGATGGTACGTGGCAAAAAGATCTTTGGAAACGCACTGTCGATGAACGCAGCGGTTCCAG